GAAAGATATGGAGGAAATGTCGGAGCTGTTGGATAAAAAATCGCAACAGGAGTATATATGAATAGACTATTCACGTGGTCCTGCTATAGTCACAACGAAAAAAAAATACGAAAGAAACATGCATCAAACTTGGCATATCGTTTACTTGAACAACACAAACAGGATTGAGAACAGCAATAAGGGAAAAAAGAGAAAAAGATAACGAAGGACAAGTACGAGGCTTGCGTAGGCGCGCCAAGTGGGAAGGGTGCGGGAGAGTGCCCATCCCCCAAAGTGGGGTCTGTAACGGCTCTTAGGCATGTGGAGATACATTCTAGCTTCAATTTAGTATTGCAAAAGCCATACTTGTAATATAATATTAATTTTTAACAACAGATTTTGAGGCTTCTCCCCATGAACCTTTGTTGCTAAATCTAGCAACTGTACATAAACGGTACAATATACCATAAACTGGGTAGAAAACAAGTATACATTTCTTTCAAGATGAATAATAAAAATATATAATTGTCATGCGATATAAAAATTTCTACTCAACCCATGTTAAAGCGTCACAGGGCAGTACACTAATGTTTACGACTGTCTAGCAGTTTAACAAAATTAACATACTAACTGGCAGAAATGGTTGTGCTGAAAGTCAAAACTAAGTAACTGCCTTATTATATTAGATTGGATACAATGAATAGGCCATTTGAAACCAGAAATAGTCTCACCGCCCAGAAATAAAATAAATATTTTTTCCACTTTTTCCCTATTCCTTTTTTCCACGAATTGCACGATTCACGCCGGCTGGTCAACATCGGCCGGATTCCCGCCGATGCGGCGGAAAATTCTGCATCCCCTGCACAAAAGCTGATCTGTTGAGAACGGGACATAAAGAAGCGCATCAAAAGGATATTGAAGCTTATTAATCTAATATTAATTACACTCCTGAGATATCACAGGCACAATGAAGCTAAACATGGCTATGCACAGCGCACAATGAAGCTAACTGATATCACAGCGCAGCAATGAAGCTAACGATGGTTCAAGCGCACCAATGAAGCTAACATAGATATGCATAGCACACAATGAAGCTAACATGATGATCACAGCGCACAATGAAGCTAAAACATGGTATCACAGCGGCACAATTGAAGCTAACATGATATCACAGCGCACAAATGAAGCTAACGATGGTATCACGAGCACACAATGAAGCTAACATGGTCAGATCAAGCGCGACATGAAGCTACAATATATCACAGCGCAAATGAAGCTAACATGGGTATCACAGCGCACAGATGAAGCTAACATGGATATCACAGCGCACAATGAAGCTAACATAATATCACAGCCGCAGCGATGAAGCTAACATGAGTATCACAGCGCACAATGAAGCTAACGTGTATCACAGCGCACAATGAAGCTAACATGGTATCACAGCGCACAATGAAGCTAACATGTATTCACAGCAGCACAATAGAAGCAAATGAAGTCACGTAGCGCACAAGTGAAGCTAACATGATATCTACGCGACAATGAAGGCTAACATGGTATCACAGCGCACAATGAAGCTAACATGTATCTACAGCGCGCACAGATGAAGCTAAACATGGTATCACAGCGCACAATGAAGCTAACATGATATCACAGCGCACAATGAAGCTAACATGGTATCACAAGCGCACAATGAAGCTAACATGTATCATCAGCGGCACAATGAAGCTAACATGTTATTATCACAGCCGGAAAATGAAGCCTAAGCAGTGAATATCACAGCGGCACATGAAGCTAACAGTATACACAGCGCACATGGAAGCTACCATGATATCACAGCCGCGACGACAATGAAGCTAACGATGATCACTAGCGCAGCAATGGAATGCTAACATGACTATCAGCAGCGCACAGATGAAGTAACATGGTATCACAACGCGCACAGATGAAGCTAACATGGTATCAACAGCGCACAAATGAAGCTAACAGATATCACAGCGCACAATAAAGCTAACCAATGATCATACAGCGGAACAATGAAGCTGACATGGTATCACAGCGCCAGATGAAGCTAACATGGTATGCACAGCGCACAATGAAGATAACATGAATATCACAAGCGCACATGAAGCTAACATATCACAGCGCACACTGAAGCTAACATGATATCACAGCACACAATGAAGCTAACACTGATATCACAGCGCAGCAAATAAAGCTAACATGATCTCACAGCGCACATGAAGCTAACAATATCACAGCGTCAGCAATGAAGCTTAACATGATTATCACCAGCACACAATGAAGCCTAACATGATATCAACAGCGCACAATAAAGCTAACGATGATATATCACAGCGGCAAATGAAGCTAACATGATATCACAGCGACAGATAAAGCTCACATGGTATCACAGCCCACAATGAACTAACATGGTATCACAGCACACAATGAAGCTAACATGGTAACACGAGCGCACAATCTGAAGCTCTGACATGGTAGTCATAGCGCACGAATTGAAGCTAACATGAATCACAAGCAAAAAATAATGAAGCTCAACATGACATCACAGCGCAACAATGAGAGCTACCATGATATACAGCGCACCATGAAGGCTAACATGATATCAATAGCACACAATGAAGTAACATATCACAGCCGCACAATGAAAGCTAAGCATGGATATCACAGCGCAACGAATAAAGCTAACATGATATCACAGCGCAAACAATGAAAGCTCAATGATATCACGAGCACACAGATGAAGCTAACATGAATATCACAGTGCACAATAAAGCTAACATGGTAATCACAGCAACACAATGAACGCTAACATGATATCAAAACAAGCGCACAATGACAACAGTGATATCAACAGCGGCACAATGAAGCTAAACATGGATCACAGCCGCACAATGCAGCTAACGATGATATGCAGCAGCGCCAAATGAAGCTAACATGATATCAACAGCGCACAATGAAGCTAACCATGATATCAACAGCACACAATGAGCTAACATGAGATGACAGGCGCACAATGAAGCTAACATGATATCACACCCGCGCGCCAAATGAAGCTAAACATGATATCACAGCGGCACAACCTGAAGCTAACATGATATCCACAGCCCACAATGAAGCTAACATAGAGCATCACAGCGCACAATGAGAGGCTAACATGATATACACGCACACAAGAATGCTAACATGATATCACAATGCGCCAATGAAGCTAACATGATATCACAGCGCACAATGAAGCTAAATGATATCACAGCACACAATGAAGCTAACCATGACATCACAGCGCACGGATGAAGCTAACATGCATATGACAGCACCAATCGAAAGCTAAACAATTGACATCACAGCGCAGCAATGAAGCTAAACATATTGATCACAGACGCACAATAAAGCCTAACATGATTATCACAGCGCAAGAAGCTACCAGTGATATCACACGGCACAATGAAACTAACATGGTATCGACAGGCCCATGCAAGCCACATCGATTCACAGCGGCACAAACGAAGCTAAAGCATGGTATCACCGCCGCCAATGAAGCTAAATGATATCACCACCGAACAATGAACGCTAACACATGACTATCACAAGTGCAAGCAATAAAGCTAACATGGTATCACAGCAGCACAATGAAGCTAACATGGTATCCACAGCGCACAATGAAGACTAACTATGCATATCCACCACGCGCAATGAAGCTAACCCATGATATGCAACAGCGCACAATGAAGCTAACATGGTACACAGCACACATGAATAACATGATATCACAAGCGGCACCATGAAGCTAACATGAATATCACAGCAGCAAATGAAGCTAAACATGGTATCATAGCGGCACAAGGAACTAACATGGTATCACGCGCACAATGAAGCTAACATGATATCACAGCAGCACAATGAAGGCTAACATGGTATGCACACACCGGCAGGCAACCATGAACGCCCTAAACACTGTATCCACACGCGGCCACAATCGCCCAAGCTAACATGGTATCACAGCGCACAATGAAGGCTAACATGATAATCACAGCGCACAATGGAAAGCTAACATGGTATCCACAGCGCACCACTGAAGCTAACATGATATCACAGCGCAGCAATGAAGTCTAACATGATACACAGCGGCACATACAGCTACATGAATATCACGCGCACAATGCAGCTTAACATGGTATCACACGCGGCACAAGGAAGCTCAACATGATAATCAGCAGCCCATATGAAGCTAACATGGTATCACAGCGCACCATGAAGCTAACATGATATACAACACGGGCGGCACAATGAAGCTAACATGATATCAGAACATCAAGCGCACAATGAAGCTAACATGGTATCCATAGCAACATCCAAGTGAAGCTACACATGCGTATCACACGTGGCGCGGCAACAAGAAGGCTAACATGGTATCCATCGCGCACAAATGAAGCTAACGTGATATCACGTCGCACGTATATATTCATATACCTATGAATCCTAATTATGCTCTTTGTTAACCCAATTGTCAAAACGTAGCGATCATGTATAAATGATGGCAGTTACGTTTATTTTTCATTATATCTGATCACGATGCATACATTATATATGTGAAATATTAATCTACGCATGCGTACAATGAGCACGAGGCTCGCGTGACAATTTGTCATTTCATACTCGGAGCATTATCACCGCGTAAACATGAATACACGAGATGCCCAGGCTGCTGAGCAAACTAGCTGATAAAAGATTGCTAAAAACCAGACAACCGCGAACTTGCAACGAGGGTAGGATATAGATTTCAGTCCTCAAGTTCTACTATAAATGCATGCGACGACACACGTTGCACACTTAGTTTCGCCCGGGGTTTCACTCGTTCGGTTTTCCCCGGGGTTTTCTAAACTAGTTGCGAGAACGAGCAAAGGTACACGTTCGCACGTAGAGGAATAAATTGAAAGAAGGGGAAAGAGAGTGGCACTGACAAGGAAGTACATCTCGTATCCTCTCATCAAGCCGGAGAAATGGCTCCAGGAAACAACAAGACGTTGAGCTGCCAGGACTTCATAGTAATCCCGTTTAACGAGCTTATGGAACACAATCTCCTGAACACGGTGTTTTTCAGCTTCATCGTCATCCTCGGCATTCCCAGCAACATTGTCGTGCTGCTCGCGTATCGGCACATCCAGAAAGCGAACCACAAGAATAAGTTCACGGCCGTCTTCGTGCGTCTGCTCTCTGGCTGTGACATCATCATCTGCTGCACCGTCTTCACTCACTACGTCAACATGAAGAACAACATCGCGCTGTGCATGCTCGAACAGTACCTGCAGATCATTCCACTCATGTTCTCACTCTGCATCCTCGTCGTCATCGCTGCCGAGCGCTACCTCGCCGTGTGCCGCCCCCTGGTGAGGATGCGGACGCGGCACGTCAGCGGGCTTCTCGGCGTCTCCGTGGCGATGACGCTCGCCGTGGCGGTCGTGTACGCGTCGCTGCACGCCGTCGTCGCGCCGGACTGCTGCATCATCAGCGACGAGCGCCTCCTGACGGCCATCATCACGATCTACGCCGTCGTCAACTATCTCTTCATCGTCCTCCTCCTCATCGTCCTCTACGGTCTCGTCTTCTGGGCGATCTACCGCCGGCAGATGAACAGGGTCGGCGCTCGCCCGCCTGAGAACTCTAGCATCAACACTGTATCCATGGTGGTGACCGCTGCCGAGCGGCGACGGGAGCGAGGCAACGACGGAGAGGAGGCGAGCGCGACGGCAGCGCCCTCTGAGAAGGCCAGCACGAGTAAGCACGGCTCAGCATCCGCCGACGGAGCAAACACGTCGCAAGCGACGCGACCGTCAAGTAAAGATAAGACAGCATCCGTCACGCCGGCGCGCAGGCGTTCTGAACGACTACAGGGTACCAAGAGAGGTCAGCAACTCAGAAGGAAGCCCGGCGGTAAGGCAAATGTTCAGATGAAGTCGGCTCTAATGTTCAGCCTAATCACGTTGGTTTTCTTTCTCGGCTGGCTGCCGTTCTGGGTACAAAACCTATCAGGGGTGTACAACTGGCAATTCGAATTTCCAGTGTTTATGTATCGTTTTTACTATATCCCTACTATAACGGACCCTCTCCTGTATGGTCTCTTTGATAGAAGAGTAAGAGAATATCTGTCAGGACGATAAATATCGTTGTGCACTAATCACACCTAGACACACTAAAATGTAGTAAAAAAAACTTGTATCACAGCGCCATGTACCACCTTATATTGCATTAGCAGTGCTTAAACTGCTGTTGTTTGTTTGTGTTAGCAGCAGTCGTCACGAGAATCTTTTTGAGCCTCTTGCCCTTTGGGCAAGTATTCTGTAAAATGTACATGCCCGAATGACATTCGAGTTATATATTTTGCAGGAATGTTTTTGGAATATCGAGTTAAGAAGCATACACCAGACAACATCTAGACACCATTCGTTTCCGATGTTAATATTTCGTGATTTTACATTAAAAACCTTTAGTTAATGGCCAGTTTCATTATATTTAATGCGTTTTTAAAGCAGGGGCCCGTCGGGCAAGTGGGCTTGCAATTTTTACATGTCTGCCGAGATTTCTACACGTCTCGGGCGTCGGACGCCCGGATAAATTCGAAGACTGCAATAGCAATATATATAGGTTTCTAGGTAAAATAGCAATGCCATACGTTGATAACAAAATGGCTGGGCAAACAGGTAGACGGACAGACAGAGAGGTCAAACATGAAGACAAACAGACCGACCGACAGACAGAGTAACAGACCGAGTAAATATCTAACAAGTGCCGCAGAGCGACAGCGCTCACCTGACGGCAGGTATTCTGATGCTAAACTCACTGGCAAACGAATAAAGAGCACCATTCCATCACCGCGTTCGCGCTCAAGAGAATATATCTAGGATACTACTAATACAGATATAAAATCTATGATAGCTAGGCTTTGCTATACCGGTAGTACAGTAATAAAGATATAGCTGTGTAATTATAATAATAATACAGCTGTGTAACTTTAATGACTTTGCTATATTAGCAAAATTAAATATTCCAGAGTGAAAGGTTGATGTCCGAGTATGCTGTCAATATACAGCGCTCAGAACAACCAAGGAGCTACATATAACATATGTTATATGTAGCTCCTTGAGAACAACGAGTGAGAGAAGCTGATGCCAAAACAGTTACTGCCTCAGTGAAGCTTTCTCAGGCACTGAATAGACAGCGCCATCTGGAGGATGAAATTCACGAACAAACTCAGCAACAGAGAGAATTGCAATTTAGGTATACTAACCAATAATATTGTAAATAATTGTGTAATTAATAAAAAAAAATGTGTAAAAATATTGTGAAATTTTTATTTTATACATTATTACATTACCACGTCATTATATCGTTAGCAAGTTTCAATTACCAGTTGCTCAATGTTTCTGTAGGAGTGTGGGTTCACTTAGGATGGGAGATATCTCAGCCAACCACTGGGGCAGTCCTGACATGAGTAATAAAAAGGATTCACTCTATGATAACAGGGACAATATGAAGTAAGCAGTAACACCATTTTGATTTAGTAAAACGTGTTTAATTGAATGTAAACGTAACAATTAACACAAAAATAAATAAATAAATAACCACTTAGTAGTGTAAATAACTTATGGTAATACTTTTTAGCTGCTAATATGAATAAATTATGGTAATACTTTTTAGCTGCTAATATAAATAAATTATGGTAATACTTTTTAGCTGCTAACATATATAAATTATGGTAATACATTTTGCCTGCTAAAAATAAATAATTTATGGTAATACTTTTTAGCTGCTAATATAAATAAATTATTTTAACTCATTTTAGCTGCTAATATAAATAAAAAAAATTTTGCTAATGCTTTAGTTACTATAATCTCAATTAATTTTTTCTTCAGATATTTGTAGTTACCATAGACTTAAATACTAAACATATAAATAACTGGTAAGTACTAAAATTTTATCACAAAATCAATAATACTAAAATCCGTTGTTGAGCAGTAGGACATCGAGTTCCTCGAGAAGATTGCGAGCATCGCATGAAGTAGACGGTATAGGCTTGCCTAGAAAACAACAATATCGATGCATAATACTGCTAACCATGCTCGTTGACCAAGCTGTACATTACTCCAACATCTCCACTAAAATTATGCTAATATATGTACCTTTAGTTTCAACCTTGAGAAAGTCCGAGCTCCCAGTAACGAAGATGTTATCGTTGAAGTCTCCGTCTACTGCCACGGTGATGAAGCTAGCCACGTCTGAGATCGTGAATACAGACACTCCCACACACTCTGAATGTTTAAAATGTGATGTTTACCATTTTGAATGTCGATCAGCATGTCTAGTGAAAACAGAATTGTCCGAATAAAAAACGGTTTTTAAGATTACAACTTGAACTTACTGTAGTTGACACTCAGCTGCATATTTGGGAGGAAGTACGATGTACCACCAAGCTTGTACACTTGGATACTCTGATCAAAATCTCCATTCACTGCAAACATGTATATCTCTCCATCCATTAAGGTTGCCTGAAAATTAGAGAAAACACTGGTTTACAAATCATATTATAACATATCTCTGCAACACTTTTGGAAAGCGAATGACAACTGTATTCACGTTAGCGCATAGCAACAGGGTTAGCTTACCACGTCCACATCCACAGTGCTAGGAATATCTATTGTCTGCTTCAGCACAAATGGAAATAGCAAATTTCCATTATATCTGCAAATAAATCATGTAACATCCTGGCATATACCTACATACGCCATAACAGGCATTTTGTCTACTAACTCTCCCTACTGGGCATGTGATCCAGATGAGACGACATACTAGAGAAACGTTGCCGAAAAGAGGTGTTGATCCGAAGCGCTGAGCGCAGATCTTGCGCGCAGTTCCGCGGCAAGGCGCACGCGACCGCGGGAACGTCCTACGACAGTATGCAGCGCTGGCAGCTATGGATCCGTGCGCCGAATCACGGCCGGCGCACGGATCCATAGCTGCCAGCGCACAGTCGAGAATTTTAGTGGGAATACAATGAAACAGCTCAGA